TTGGGAATGAGTGTGCAGACTCTGACACCGTAATTGTGATGTTCTGCCTTTCAGGGTAGAAAGGAAAGATAGATAGGATAGATATATTTTATTAATTTCGCTCAGTGGCCATCAGTACAATTTCAAGGTAGTAAATAATTCTCTAGAATAATAATTTATTCAATTTAGGCACTGCCCAATCCCAGACTGACTCAGGGCGGCTCACGCAAGACAATACAAAAATAACAATCTACATAAAACAATAAGCAGATGGACGATTCGGTCAACACCTAAAACAAATATCTGCACCCAGCAAGGTTTCTCCAGGGGAAGACTCAGATCTTTAAGGCCCTCCAGAATACCACCGGGACAGAAGCCACCCAAATTTCGGGGGTAACCTCATTCTGGAGGGCAGGTGCTGCAACAGACAAGGGACACTTCATAGGTCCTGAAAGATGACACTGTTTAATTGGAGGGAGCCAGAACATGTCCATCCTGTTGGTCTTGAACCAACCAGGAAGAAACCACTGGAGACAGATGATCTTTCAAATAGCCAGGCCCTATGCCCTGCAGGGCTTTATAGGTGACAATCAGCATCCTGGATTGCATCCAGAAGCAAACTGGCAGCCAGTGCAGCTCACAAAGCAGAGGTGTCGCATGGGCATATTAAGACATGCCCATCACTGCCCATGCCACTGCATTCTGGACCAGTTGAAGCTTCTGAATGGTCCTCAAGGGCAGCCCCACGTGAAGTGGTATGAAAAAATGAAGATATTTCCATGCTGCACCTTTACCTCTGAGTTGTCCTAAGTCATAAACTAGTATCAGAATTAACCTTGTGTAGAAATTTAGTTCTTTATTATTGTCTACCTGTTTTGGTAAGATGATGCCCTACAGATACAGAATTTTTTGTGCCATACATTATTCTATTAAATGATATAAAGTGGCAGTAGGCTATGCATGGAACTTTACAGTGAAACTCCAGGAAAAATTCCTGCAGAAGCATTGTACTTTTAAGCTGAATTTTAGCTGTGGCATGATATGACGTTTAGATAATAAAGATCTGTTTCAAAATTTTACACAAGGAATTGTGAACTAGAAATCAACTTCATTAGAGTTACCAGATCTGGGCTGAAAAAAATCCAGATGGCCACTAGATGGAATTCTGGCTTCAGTCTCAAACAAGATTACCAGGAAATATGCCTCTCTGAAGTCAGTAACCTATTTCTGAGTAAACATACTAAAGGTTGAGCTGTCACCATTTAAGAATCCATTTGAATCATGAAGAAACTGGTAACCTTGATTAAGGGTGCAACAGGATGTCAGAAATAAAGGCAAGGTATGTAGGCCGTATTTATCCAAAGTAAGTCATAGCATCTATCTTATCTGATCTAGAAAAAGCTAAGCAGGGTTGGGCCAGATCTCGTACGCAACAGGTAATCCCAGAGCGTAGATGTTGGCAAGCCATATTGTTGCCAAGAAAACTACATGAACTTGTCCTTGTAGTTAGCAGGAGTCAAACTCAACTCTAGAGAGTCTTTACCTGAACAGTCATGGACATCCGGGAGAGGTGGTAGGAGGGGTGAAATTATGACAATGTGTGATAACATCATCATGCAATGTTGCAATTTGCATACATCAGACATTGGAATGCAAGTATGTAATTGAGGCATTGTGTGCCATTGTGATGACGCTGTGTATGTAGTCATTTTGCTGTCATTGCAGTTTGCTGCAAGTGCTTCTGTGAATAGTCACAATTAATACAACCTACAACTCTTCTTCATTCACATATGCACAGAGATACTGAAAGAATCAGAGAAAATATTAGAAACTCCAAATAAGCAAATTTGCACCCCTTGTCTGACCATCACAAAATTCTTGGATTGCTTTTTTTCCTAACAAAAAATAGCAAAGTCAAAAATATTGCAAAAAACAGCAAAACTCAAAATTAAGTCCAGCATAATTTCTAGCACATTATCCAAGTCCAGTGAATTCTTTTGTATGGCTATTAAAAAGAAATATTTTAAGCAAATTCTGGCCAGAGAAAATCAATGATGGCTAATTGCCATAGGCAGATCAGGATGGATGGTAGCTTCATCGCTCCCAGCTGGGAATTATGCCTTGAGCACCCACAACTGATGCACATACTCAGTCTCTTGGCTATGAAGACACCCTCCATCTGTCCAAGTGGCAAGGTGCCCATTCCAAGTTAGTCTGATTTGTGCCCTGCAGTAGAATTCTAAAAGTTATAGGTGAAATAGGCAGCTTAAAGAGTATCAGTTTGCAACATATTTTTAAAGAGATAGTCTAAAGTGATAATAAATGTATCCAGTTTTGGATTTCATGTTCATTGCACATCTATAGAAATCTATGAGATAACATTCATAATAAACTATAGATTGAATTTCTTCAGAAATGGTTATATAACTATAGATTCTGGCAATATCTGTTTGACTGGTGTCACACAATACGTGTTCTGATCAATCATATGTATTAATTCAGCCCCTTATAGAGGAATTCCTAGGGAGAGATGACCATTGGTACATCTATCTTCTAGCAGATCATAAGACCACTACTAGCCATAATGTAGCCAAATTTTGCCTCGCTGCTACTAGTGTGAGGCAAGAAATGTTGTCCAATAAAACTGCATTCCCTTGATAACTTTAAAATCTTCTCTCCCCTTCTTTTCCTTTTCTGCTCTCTCTTTTAACTTCTTTTAATTGCTTTGTTTAAAGGTGTATGTAGAATTTTATGTATACTATATGTGTATATGTACACACATCAATTAAAGACCACAATAAAGTTTATCATACCACAAGTCTTTTAAAAGGTAACTGTTAAACATTATAGCATTTCAGGTATGATATAATAGCATGTTAAGCATGTTAGATATTATATAACTATATTAATAACTATACTTTATTTATTTGTTTGTTTGCTTGCAGTGCCTGACACCCAGCAACTCTGGACAGTTCACAAATAAAAACACAGAATAGAAAAAACAATAATAAAACAAGGAACAAAAGATGGAAAAACCGGGCAACAACCAAAAGCAAAGCCACACATACAAGGGGACTTCAATCATCCTCACCATATATATTAATTATATACAGGTAGTCCTTACAATCCAACCACAATAGGGATGGAATTTAAGCAATTTGGTCATTAAGCAAATTATCACATGACCAGAGCTGATTTTATGAACTTTTTTACAGTGGTCACTAAGCAAATCACGTGGTCATTAAGCGAATCCAGCTTCTCCAATGGACTTTTTTGCTGGAATTCACTTAACGATCACGTGATTCGCTTAACAACTGCAGTAATTTGCTTAACAACTGTTGTAAAAAAGGTCACAAATCACAATCACATTACCACAGGGGGTTTGCAGTGGACATAAGTGTGAGTATAGGTCATAAAAGCCGTCATAACTCTGAACTGTCATAAAATGAACCTCATTAAGTGAGGACTACCTTTAATAGCATGTTTATTATTCTAGCATTGTAAAGATTATGCAATTTTGGGGGGAGGAATTTTCATAGAATGTTTGAGTAATAATATTATGTTTTTTTCCTAGGGAGCTCATTTTTATTTTTTGTATTCCAATTGAACAGTCTCCAAGATGTTGAGGATTATTGGTGTTTAGCTGTCCTTCCCACCCAACCAGCTTCTTTATTCCCAGCTTTTTTCTCCTATACTCATTTGTCTTTAGTTGCCTCTTCTAGCCATAATATAACCTAGTACCCTCCAAATGTATTGAGACTTTAGACCATGTTGGCTGGGAATTGTTGGATACAACACATTTGAACTGAATTGTTGGACATAACACATATGAACTGAAAAGCACAGAGCTAGGGACTGGCTTTGTTTGGGCTGGTTTGTTCCTGACTCCTATGATCTTCAATCTCACTCACAACTGCCCAAAATCTCATCTTCTCAGCCCATCTCCATTGCCTATCTCTCCTGCCAAGCGGCACAGATATTAGCTGCTGATCTATCACTCTGAGGAACACCTTGGTCTCCCACAAGGATATCAGCATTCTTCATAGCAGCAAGGTAGCCATATTCCTGGTTCTTTAGTTATGGCAGGAGTTCCAGGGGTTTTCATCAGCTGGAAGACAATATGTTGTTCTTAAACTGTAGAGATGTAGAAGATGACCTTGGAGAAAATATATGTTGACTGTTCAGTAAAACATAAAGCCTGACAATGTTTCCCTTTCCCTCCATCTTATACAAAAACAATCAAAGGTGAAGCAATCTTGAGATTCTTTGTCCTGCTTTCCTGGGCTAAACTCATGTTTTACTGGCAGCTGCTGCATGTTTTCTCCGAGGATATCTCTGTGCTCTCCTACATGAAAAAAACCATACAAAAGAGAGTGCTTGTGTCCTAATTTGCTAAGCCATAACAAAGATAGGAATTTTAAGGAAGTGTTCATAACTCCCTTCTATTTTACACCGTAATCCCTGCCATTGTAACAACCTAGTTAGCCTGTGTTGCTCTCCCTCAAGGCAGCAGGCTCTCTATAATACCTCCATATTGTCCTGCACTGCTCAGAATACCTGCAGTCTGGAGTAAGAGAATTATATGTGATAGCATAAGAGAGACTACGGGATACGGTCTAAATGCTCCAAGTATTTTCTCCTTGTGATATATATACTCATAAGGATTAGTATACCACATTTTCCCTGGCGTTGGTGCCACCCAGTTTCTGTTTCCACAGTCCCCAGCTAGCAGGGCCACCACAGATCTGTTGGACTTCAACTTCCGTAATCCTGAAACCAGCATGCGTATGGGTTACAGTATAACCTTGCTCCTGAGGAACAGCTGGTGTTCAGGGAGGTAGGCTAGATAATTAGGAGAGGCATGTGCTCTGTTTTAATAAAAAGAACTTTCCAAAGGGGATAAATTGAAAATAAGAAAAAAGTTAATTTATAAAATGGCATAAAGAGTGTTAGAAAGGACTTGTGACAGTAATGTTTGGTGGACATTACTGATTGGGTTTCTGGTTATAGTGCTGAGGAAGGTTTTTCAAGGTGCATCAGCTTTACAAAACCTACCAAGAGCTTACAGATAATCCTCAAAGCTTGCTCAACCAAACTCACTGTGTTCATCAACTGCCTACTGTACTGGGATGAATCTTAGATAAGTCTTTATTTTTCAATATTTTTTGTAGTTTTATTTACAGTTGTTTATATAGTTTGCAAATCATCAGGAATATCATTGTCCTGAAAATGTGGGAATATGAATAACTCGAATGGATTTCTACCACCTTAATTTGAATTGTACCAAACAGTGTCTTTCAGCACTGGATTCTGCACTGTTTCCTCAAAATCATACTAGCAAATAAATACACTTCTGTTTGGGGGAGGAAAAAAACCCTTGTATCTGAGATCCCTAAATACTGCACAGCCATGCAGAATCTTTCTTGGGGCTCCCTGATGTCTGTGTTATGTTGTTGTTTATAAATTACCACAGGAATCACCAGCTGTCATCATAAAAATTTTATTGGCACTCTGCAAATATTAAATCAGCAGGCTAAAATCATGCCATGTGCCCAAGCAGCTGATGCTCTCTTGTGGATGCAACCAATCAGAGACGGGAATGCACGGTGTTATTTACAAGCCTGGTTCTTCATGAGAACGTTTGGCAGGGTCATTCCTATAAGCATCCTCTTGAACCAGAAGCTGCACCTTTTCTTTGCATCCATCACGAATGTTTTAAGATGAACAGCAATGGATCATTTTGGATACATATATGAGCTTCCTACTCCAAAGATAAGAACTGAACCTCATTTTTAATGTTAAATGAATGGAAAAGGCACAGGTTTAGACCCCAGTCCTTTAAAATAAACACACTGATGGTGCTTCAGCTTACATCTTGATCCTCTGCATTTGGAATAAACTGCCTTTGAAATAGCACTGCAACAGTACTATTTAACTATGCCTGCTTGAAAGGCCTAGTTTCTACTCAGAATAGTAAGGCTGTGACCTAATGGTACCATTGCAATTTGTAGGTACAGTAGGTAGGGCTCATTGATACAAATGGAATATTTCATATGCTGTAGCTAAAAAGCTTCACATATGGGGGAATAAGTTCCATCTTAAATTTCTCCCTGCTGGTTTTCATTGTTCAAGACCTTTTTAATGAAAAAAAGCATTCTACTACATGACTTTCATGATCTCACAATCTGTAGCAATATAGACCTGATATAGGTTTACCAATTTAGAGAGAACAAGGCTGGGATATAATGAGATGTACATGAACATACAAATCTTCCTAAAGGATAATGTACCTCTGCATTCGTTCGTTTAATGAAAACTACTAGGTCTGGATTAGCTGGGCTCTCATACAGGCAGTTTGACAGTATTTTAGTACAGTATCTTTATTTGATTTATATTCTGCCTTTGGTCTGTGCAACTCAAAGCAGTGTACATAATGGTCCCATCTTCTCTTTTTCCCACAACAACTCTGGTGAGGTGAGGTGAGTTGTAAGAAAGTAACTGGGCCAAAGTCATCCAGCTGGCTTTCACACCTAAAGGAGAACTAGAACTCATGGTTTCCTGGTTTCTGGTCCAGCACCTTAGCTACTAAACTGGCTGTTGTGTTGCAGTTGTATGCCGGTACATGTCTATTCAGAAGTGAGCCCTGCTTAGTTAAAAAGGAAGTGCTTTGAAGAAAGTGTCTAAAGGACTGTGGCTTAAAGTTGCAATCCAATTCCTACCTTCCTGGAAAATACTGTTGAGCTAATAGGGGTTACTTCTGAGTACACATGTATATGCTTGTGCTATGAATAACTTACAAATAATTAAAGGGACTAAACTATAAGATTAATAGTTTATGACAAAAAAAGCATGTTCGTGCATGACAACCTTACCAATTAACCCAATTCAATTTGGACTTTAAGTATTAGGCAAATGTCCAACTTTTGATCTGTTTCTTTGCACAAACAGCCTACATAATTGTCCCTGATGCTAGAATCTGATCTTCCACTGTCCATTTGTAGATCTTAAATATACATTATAATATATTTGATAGCCATGGTAGCCCATTCCTATTTTCTTACAAGAATATGTTTTAGCACCTAATAACATTTCAGTACTAAATATTGCTCACATATTTTCAAGTTATTGCAGTTGCCACCCCTCCCTCCCTGTCCCTAGAAACTCTGCTAACAATAAACATGCAATACTTCGTTAATTGTTAGAGGCATTACTGGGACATTTGTGATACTGAACAGCTATTTATGTTAATTAACCTAATTTTTGAAACAGAAAAAATGTACTCTAGAGACTGACAATTACTTATATTTAACTATGATACAGCATAGCAATAATGGGGAACTGTTAATTACTTCTCCAGCTGGAAATACCTTTAAAAAACCAGAATATTTAATTAATTTTAAAAAATCATAATACATAGGGTACTTTTCAGAACAGCCCTTGTCCCATGTACAGTGAAATGTGATTGTACTGAAGCCCTTGACCACTCTCCTCTGGCTCCAATCTTTTCCCTTTCCTTTCCCTTTTTTTTTTATTTTTGGAGCAATATTCTGTTAGCACCTGGGCTCAACTTGGTCTGAATATGGAAGTTGACTCTTAAAATCAGATCCAATTAACACATCCTTGATATAACAGAATACAGTGTTAATTACATGCAGCTGATCATTGCTGGGTTAATTAAACACTCACCCCCCCAGCTAAGGCATTAATCTAATTAACAATTACTACAGCTGCTGTTTTCTCTTTACACTTGCTTTCTAAATGGTGCATATTCACACTTCAGCCCCAATCCAGCAAGTTCTTCCTGTAAAGAATTCCCTCTGAGGTGGATAGCATTTCTTGATAAGAGGTGGTTAGAAATTTTGGTTGTGGTCTCTTTACTCAGAGAACTGAATACTTGAGAAATAATTTGATATTGAGATCATGGTGAAAAATGTGTTTAGATAAGTTTTTTCTCATTTAATATACCCCTCCTTTAACTGTTGCTGATAGTTTGAAAATTACAACTTTACTCATTAAGAGGCATCAGCAGTAACCCTAAACTCACACTTCTTAGAACTGGGATTGATGTAATACTGTACTGTTTTGTGCCCAAAGTCTACTGAACTAAATAATGGTATAGATATACCTACTTGCAAATATGGGGGAAATTTTTTAAAGTGCAATTGTACACATCAACTATTAGGAATTGAGGGAAGTTATATTCTTTAATAGGTCTTGAGTTCCAGTATATTTATTAAGAGTAACTCAGCATATTAATTTAATAAATTATATCACATTTTCTTCTGGTTATAGTATAATCATATACTATAGTATTGCAGTTTTTTAAAAATAAGCAGTTGACCTAATCAACTTGATATCATATTCAGAGCCTTTAGACCTGGGCTACAAAATCTGGAATTCTGCAGCCTAAAACTGGTAGCCTGATTTTCCTTCAGTTCTGATTCAGGGATTTTTTTTGCCCTTTGAAATTCAAATATAAGGCAGCATACACAGAGTTGGAGAGGTAAAGGCAACGTAAGCTTTATTGGACATACTATACTGCTTGTAGCACCCTCATTTCCATTTTATACCCAAATGCAAGTAAGGAGGATACATCCACAAAGCTTCAAAAATGAGTAACACAGCAAGACAAGGCATTTAGTGAAAATTAATGTGACTTTGAAAAATACATGTTAAAGGTCTTGAAACTAACTTGTTTTGCATACTTTGTAAGAGATCACTAATTTCATTCCATAAATTCAGAAACATTGTTTTATTCAAATTGTATAGGAAGTCAGTATTCTATAGTTTTATTATGGATGGTAGATTACTCACATTATACAATTGATATTATGGTGCAGAAGGAGTCAGAGAAAGCTTTGCTTTATCCCTAAATATTTATGCCAACAAAATTTGCAGACGGTCCTTACTGTCTTAACCTGTCTGTTCCACATTTATCAGAGTCATACTTTTGTTCTAAAATGTACATAAAACACATACCTGAAGTATATACCTAACAAAGGATGTATGAAGCCTATTAGAATTATTGTTGCTAATAAACATACCAAGCTGTGATTGTGTTTGGAGTGTCTTCTGTTTTATATTGGCTACAAGAGTTTTTATCAAGGCAGTTGCAAACTATTGTGATAGGATTTAGCAGCATTCATGGCTCTTTGCAGATACACATTCTATTGAAAGTCAAGTCATTTACTTTCAGTCATGATAATGCTCATTTGAATACTTCACACCTGCATTCTTCAATAATCATAACCACCTTGATTACTGGAGTAACCATGGTACAATTCATCTTCAGATGCTTCATGGAGAATTTGGTGGGTGAGCAGTGGGAACAAAAACTATACATGCGATCATCAGTGCCAGGAACATGGAAAGAACTGCATTTCCCAAAGCACAGGTTGTTTTGTATCACCAGCCTTTCACAATTTTCATGCGTAATGCTCTAAAAGGAAACACAACTTTGTTAAAACACTTGCTATGGTGTTATATTAGAATAGCTTTTAAGGTATGGTTATATAACTATTCATTATGACTCTAAAAAAAAATAATTCAGCACGGTTTCAAAGTGTCCCTACAGTCTTTAGGGGTAAGCCAGTAATACTAAATAGAGGGGAGAGAAATAATTGCTTGTTTTGGATATCAATAAATCACAACTCTACTATCTTAGTAGAAGCCATCAGAAATGCAGGAAAGTTTATTTAAAGGGGAAACCTATTCGCTGTTTTTAAGTTTTTGAGATTTCAGTAGAACAAACATGAAGTCTACTATAACAAACTTCCATGCCCAAAACTATCAACATTCTGGTTCTTACATTTGTAATATTTCAAATCTCAGAATGAATTTCTGAGAACACCAGCAAACCACTTCTTTCATTGTGACTGAGCTACAAGATTTTGGCTCCAAAAATCCAAATACCATCAGATGACAGCAAAGATATATATTAAAAACCACATCTTTTGCTCTCATTTAGGGGCTGTGGAGATTGTTATAGCCCTTATTTTGGCTTTCCTTCTATAAATTGGAGAGAATTAGCTTATCTTGCAGGGCTGTTCTAAGCTTGAACTATTATGCAAATTGAAGCAGTACAGCAGTGCCTATCCCTAATTAAAATAAAACCTAGGAAAGTACTACATTTCTGACATTTACTTTACCTGAGAGAAAGGAAGCATATTGCAAATCTGGTAAATTTCATTTATCTTGATTGGAAGGACCACCTCTTCAGATCTTGACTTGGTTTTCAACATAAAAAGGTCCCAGAATTTTTTGGCATCTTTTCTGAAGGGTGACCCTGCTTCCCTCTTTGTCTGTGGGTGAGAAGGTGGGTGTTTTAGATCCGTAAAGGCTGGGGCTTTGCTTGCAGAAGCCCAGCTTTCCAAATCATCAGCCGCACGCTGAACGTTATACGGGAAAAGAAAATGAGGTCTTTGTGGCAAGTCTTGCTGTTTGATTTCCATTTCTGCCAATGATACCACTGACCCCTCAGGTTCCCGCAGAGTTCCTTTGGATTCCCCTACATACTTTGTCAGCACATTGTGGGGCAGGATGTATGGGACTCTCTTCTTTTGCTGCTGCATTTCCCCTCTTTGCTCTGCTGTTGCAAGCCATGAAATCAGCAGCATCTGAAGCAATAGTAAAAACATTATTCTTGACTTGTTGTCTTTCTCCTTCAGTTCCTGTCTGTTAAAAAAAAAAATGCCCACCCCAGATTGTTGTATTTATAAAGGGAGCCTAAAGTATTAATTTCCAGCTGTTGAGCATTGGAGGGGGGAAGAGACAGAGAGGAAGACTAATCAGTGACACCCATTAACACTCATTAACTATAGCCTCTAATAATGATAAGGTTAACTCATCCTGCTTATGTGTATTTCATGTTTGTATTTCTAGTTACATCTGTTTTCTCTAGCAGGAATCATTCTGAGTATTTGGATAAGCTCTTTAGCAGTTGTCTAGGTATTGAGGAATAGATCTTAGATGCATATTAACTTACCTGATACATTCTCAAATGCCCCAAGTCACCATAAGGAGTTAAGGATTCAATACAATAACAAGGAGAACGCTACCTTTGCAAGTACACATTGTAGAAAAGTTGCATCTCCTTTCTTAGTAAGATGAAAGTGTATCACTTTAAAACGACATCTAAAATAGTCAAGTTATATGCCATGTTGAATTAATCCAACTGGATTAAAAAAAAAAATTACATGGTGTAAAGACTAATAGATGCACCTTTTTAAAAAGTTCAAATAATAAATAATGAGCCAGTTTCTGAATACTCAGATTATTAAAACACTTAGGATTTTAGAGATAATCTAGTTCACTCTGTACTCATTTCAAGACTCTTTAAAGGCTGTGTGGATCTTATTAGGTCTTACAATAGGTAACAAAAAATTGGAAAAATATTAGTCCATGCAGGTCCTCAAAGTGCAGACTTTGAGCATTGTTTTCCTTCTGATAAATGGGCATAATCAACCTTGTTTGCATGTGAGCTGGTTGTAAATCATGGATGGCTCCAAAGAATGTGCCTGTTGGTTTGGGTTATCCAGTTGATACTCTGTGTAAAAGGGGAAGATCCATGTCTACTGGATCTTCCCCTGTAGTAGTTGTAGAAGTTTATCTTATCTATTTCTGTAGAAATGGATTTGCCATGAAGGTTCAGTAAAATAAAAACTGAGCATTCATATTCCATCTTTTCTAAAAAGCTACAATTAACAACTGGACAAATATAATGGGAAAGTTAACTCTCTGGCAGGAGTCCCTTTCAAAATTCCATTACAGTTTATAAGTGAAAAAACAGCATTGATAAAAGTATCTTATTCATGTTGCACCAACATTCAGAATCTATGGTGTTTTCATACATGGACTATCAAAGGTTGTTTGACTATAAGTTAGTGCTGTTCAAGTTGAAATCACAGTAAGTTCATTGAAAGGTATTGGATCCTATGTCTTTTCATATTATAGTATAAGTCATCACCATTTCATAACTCTACTTGATTTATAGTGCCATTGAAAACAGTATTGGCCGTCAGCTTCCTAGCTGCTTGACCTGTAATTTAAGTCTTTAAAAAAATGCATGTACCATGATCTATAATGGCAGGCAGAAAAGCATAACTTTGCTTTTTCTAAAAGTGAAAAGGTAAGTTTCCATCAGGTATGCCATGTGGATCTAACAAGCTAAAAAAAAAAATGCCATGTCACCTTAAAAGCTTCGTTTTATTATGATGTAAACTTTTCATGTAGGAAGTGATCACCTCCATTCTCATGAACACATAAAACATACAGGATGAAAACAGATAACAATCTTGGTAAGCACTGAGACCAAAGAATCCTTTGGATTGTTTAAGCAGCCTGTCTCAGTTCTCTCGACAGATTGCAATCTGGGTATTGTAGGTTGCTGCAATGGACTCTGCTTGATGTGGACTGGAATGAATAAACATAATATGTGCTTGCGTGGCTGTTTTTTTTCCTTTGTTGAATAGCCATCCTGAGAAGAAGGAGGCCGACCCGACCCGCACTGAGACAAAAGACAAAGGAAGAAGAGTTTACAAATTTTGCTACTCTCCCTTCCCTAAAAATAAACGCCAGGTGTTCATCATATAAGGCTTACTGCTTTGGCGCTCATGAGAACCTCTGTCCCATTGTAAGTAGGTGATGTAATGGCTGAAGAGGGTGTTTTTCTTGTCTTCAGAATTAAAGGTCTAAATAAGTTCCTGAGAGTCCTTTTTCCTCGTACAGCCCAAAACAACCAAGCAGCAAAACAAAAAGAGACTAACACCTGCTCCAGAGAGGAGGCATTTTCAGGATTCTGGTTTGGTTGGATGAAAAAGCATTGTTGCAAACTCCGCTGTTGTTTCTCTACTGCAAACATATTGGGACTGATTTACAGAGGGAAAATGGTGATGACCTGAAGTGTCCTCAGTTTTCCTTCCTCTCTGTTCCACCACCACTTCCTCTCTCTTTTTTAAAAACCAGAACAACTCTAATTGTTTGGTTCACTGAATATGGCAATCATGCACCTGGAAAATCCATGCTGGAAAAGCCACATGGTGTGTGTGTGTTAGGTTGTGGGAGAAGGCAAGCAGGGATAGGAGCAAACACTGCCTGTGTTGCAAATTCCCCCCCCCCCCACACACACACCTTCCTGTGGGAAGTTTGAGGTTTTAACTGTGTACCTGTTGATGTTATACACTTTCATCAGCTAGCACAGCACCATTTTTTCTGGAAAATTGATTATACAATCTCAGTAATTTCTAATGCTATTTTTATTAATACTTTCTATTTAGATATTACAGTAGAAAACAGCACAGAAAGCATGCCATTTAAGGTACAAAAGTAGATTAGCACCTTTTAAGATCAAATACAATCAAATCTACAGCAGTAAAGATATAATTTTCTCTAGATACATTCTATCCCCTCAAATACATATTTCAGAGGAAAAAAAAATTTCAATGCTGCTAAGAAAGGAAAAAAAAATGTGTGCCCATAATGGATCAGTATATTTATAACTATTTTTCACCTATTTATCAATATGGAATAATGGAAGGTAAAATTTGACTTCCAAGAAATTACATTATTTTTCCAATGGACAACTTTCAGTTTTACACACAAGGGAGTATTAGGGGATTATTGACAAGTCAGAATGAATTGTAGTGGGTTTTTAAAATTGTTTTTGTTAGTACATCTCCTTTTCCCATTTCAGAATTCATCAGAACATTTATTCAATTCCAGACTTTTATAATAACCCAAACAGATTACCAAATGCACTTTTGCAAATTGTACAACACATTCCAGCCTATATGGACTTCACATATATTCTTCATATATATTCTATATGTGCAACTGGATTTTATCTTCAAATTCTGCCTCCCATGTGGCAATACAATTCTTCCCTACAACCATCCACATGGAAGGATGAGGAGAGGTGTATAAATTCTGAGAATCAGGTTTTTCTGGCCCAGTCTAGCACCTTCAAAATGTTTTGGGACTGCAGCACCCAGAATTCCTATCCAGGTTGGTTGAAAATTCTGAGAATTGCAATCTCAACACATCTGAAAGTTGCAAAAAGTCAAATGGGCATTCAGAATGTTCCCAATATTAATGAAGGAAAGGAAGGAAAGGAAAACTATCAAAGAGATACCACAGAAATGTACATGCAAACAAAGCTTAGAGCTTATCTGTGATGATAGCATAAGTTAATATGCCTCTGTTGGGAAATCAACACTGATGGCCAGGAAAATCCTATAATGCTTCAGGGTTTATATCCATAACTCATAGTCTATTTGAGAGTGAACACATTTGAATTTGTTGCCATAAGAATAGGAAAGTTCACCTGTGATTAGCCCCAGATGTTGAAATTTATCACAGAATAATGTGATGCAATTGTTTTAGGTGAATGTTTGACATTTGTTGGAAGTTTCCATCTGGGTATATTATGAAATAGGCATGGAGGGGACTGGCATAATGTTTACTTTTTTGCTTGAAGTATCTGCAACCAGCCTCATTTGGCCAAGTGAATAGCAGGATATTGTCCCTTTCTAAATTACCACAACAGTTGTAGTGAATGAAATGCCCTACCCAAGAAAGATGGAGAGAAGCATATGGCATAATGTCTATACTCAACTCAGAGCTCTTCCCAGTTATGCTTCTAGCACTTTCATACAGTATATAGGATGTCTTGAAAGAGACAGACATGAACTCTGGAACCAATAAATTTGATTCGTGACATATAGCCCTTATATTCCAAACACAGGAGAGCAAGAGAAGAAAGACAGGTAGCAAAAAGAAAACAAAATCCTGCATCACATTGGAACCCTTCCCTCATGTAAGAATTTTTGCAAATGGGTCAGGTGACTCTCCATTCATAAGTTCTACCAACACTTCTAACTGCCTGAAAATAAATATGTTTTACCATGCAGAAAGCCAAGCAGGTGTTTAAATACCAGCTTTGTTTACAGTTTTGTGGAACATATATAACTGTATGCTTTGCCCGTCCTGCAGTCCTTTCTTTGCCATTTTCCTTGTTGTTGTACTAAAATGCAGTTCCTTTTTTGTTTTGAAAGATGAGGTGGGCCTCTTCTCCAGTTTGTGAAAACAACCCGTTCCCTGTCGTTCCATTCTAACTGACCTGGTTTTCGTTGATCATTCAAACCTGTAATGCATTAAAATGTATAAGCAGACAGTCAGAGAATAACGTATTCAAGCATTTTAACCAAGTTTGCTTGGTTCTATCTGCTCTTCCATGTCATAAATTTTCTAATAAGTTCCAGATTCTTTCTCTTCCCCAATAAATTTGTTCTATGGAAAAGAAAGATTAAATGTTGTGAAAATAGATTCTGCTGGTATTTAGACTAGAAAAACGTCTGAAGATTTAGTGGCTGTAAGCAGGGAACTGCTGCAACAGATCATACCTATTGACTTCTAGCCGATGCCTTTCTATCCTCCGACTGAAAGCCATCCTTCTGTTAGCTAAGAGGTGTTGCTTATGAAAATGTTTTATCATAATTGTACTTATATATATCCCAAGGCTGATCATTATAACTGGAATTTGAAAGAACCTAAACATGGAAGTCTAAAATAATATGGAATAATATCTAATCCTTGTTGCTATATCAACAGAATTATAGTCAGGATCAAGGGAGGTCACTGTTTTTCTCTATTGTCCATTGGTCAGATCACACCTAGAATACTGTGCCCAGTTCTGGGCACTGCATTTTAGGAAGGACATTGGAAAATTGGAGCATGTTCAAAGCAGAGCAACCAAGATCATAAGAGCCCTGAAAGGAAGAACATACAAACAATAGTTAGCATATTGGGTGTATTTAGCTTGGAAAAAAAGATGGCCGCAGGGAGACATGATAGCTGTTTTCAAGG